TTTTTTTTTTTTTTTTTTTTTTTTTATATTCCGAGGGAATCTGCTTACAGATACCCCGGCCCCGCGGGGGCAGAGCCGGGGTTATGTGGGACTGGGCTGAACCCTGAAGGGGAGCAGCCCGACCACACTAAACCCCCGGAGTGTTCCTCCTCTCCGCTGTAGGTGGGGGTACGGGTACGCTGTAGCACTCGTCCGCGCCCCCACCAGCGGCTGGCCGCGCCCTGCGCAGCCCCTCCTCGAGAAGGGAGACACATCGGTCCCCCGACTCCGAATGTGAGGCTCGCCGAACACCAGACGAGCCTTCCATCCCGGGCCCCTTTATGCTGGGCAGCGAACTCCCCCGAGTCCGCTTCCCAGGGGCCCTGGGGGGCCAGGACAACATCCACTCAACTGTGAAGTTCAGTGGCTTCTCCCCCAGCCCCCGCGGCGGATCTGATGACAGGCTCCGCCGCAACACCTATCGCGCTTCCGCGCGGACTCTCCGTAGAGAGTCCCTTGGAGCGCCCACCTCGGGCCAACCGCCCACATTCGGCCGCGGAGGATAGGACGAGCGGCAACGACACACCGACACGTCTCTTCCCCCGCGGCCCCGCCGCCACTGCATCGTCTAAAGCGGTGCAGCCCCGCCAGGGTCGCGGAGGACAGGACGAGCGGCAACGACACACCGACACGTCTCTCCCCCCGCGACCCTCCTCCTCGCGAATCCGCGCGGTCTCCCGCTGGCCAAACGAGCCCCGCGCGGAACGCCCTCCTCCTCGGGCCAGCCTAGCACCATCGGCCGGCCCCGTGGGTTCCTCTTAGCTTCACCGTGGGATGAAATCGACCACGGCTACTAGAGCCCCCCCGCCACGACAAGACATATACTGCACCTGCCTGTGCCCATGACATCAGCTATCAACCATCTGGGTGATAGAAGGCGAATCTTGGAGGATTGATATCGTTGATATAGTTGATCAGAGATTTTTCTTATTTTTTATTTATTTATTAAGTCGGTCTTCTGTGGATACGTCTCAATTCGACTGTGTGCTGATTTCTTTTGTATGTATGTTACACGATAACCGATAGGTGAACCGATTTTGACGGTTTCTTTTTTTGTTGGAAAGAGAGGGTACTTCAGTAGAGGTCCCATTTAAATTTGAAGAAAATATTCCACCTTTAAGGGTGGCAAACTAGGGGTTGAATGACTTTTGAGGTCGGTTATTTTAGTAATCTGTACTGAGATTATTGAATAGTTAATTACGAAAGTATTATGACGGGTGAAAATGTAATTAACATTTAAAAACAACAGACACAGAAATAATTCGTTATCCATATTTCACGACAGTTTTATACCAAATTATAATATAACGAAATGTGAAAATGTATCGTACCTACTAATCAGTGTTGCAAACTTTATTTTTCGGTCAGAAGGCACAAAAGATATAAGAAGCTTAATATAATAAAAAATCGCGATTTCTCATTTTTACAATATTACCTATTACACGCAATATACCTTTTTGTAATTTAACACACATATTTATATATGGTGTGCAGGTCGGTTTTAATTTAATTCGATGCGTGGCCTGAAATCTGTAATCATGCCATTTTAGACTCGTTTGTCAAGATACCCTTTCGAGGAAACAATTTGGGCTAGGCATGCTAAAAACTAAGAAAATTGTTGTGAATACGTTTCTTATCTCTGTCGTCGTATATTTACGAGGCATGTCCCGGCGGGACAATCAAATTTATACAAGAGGTTTAAGATGTCCCGTGCAGTACGGGTTGGTTGGTAACCCTACTACTAACATAATTGAAACCATGTAACGCCTTTTTACGAAGAACGACTATAATTAAAAAAGTACGTTATACCGTTTAACTTTGTCATAATGATAAACGAACAGTAGCGACACATTGGCCATATTGATGAAGAAATAATTAGTGGAATATTGCGTTATTTGTCCCTGATAGTGTTTGGGATTCTTTAACTTTTTTTAAATTAACATAACCCTTGGCTATGTTAATTCCTTACATTATGTCTGTGTATTTTAACTGCAATACCTACTTGCCTAACTGCAATATATGTCTGCCGCACTGCTACGTTCGCATGAATGTACCATACTGTCTTATTATATACTAATATAACTTTGGATAGGATTTCCTGCTATGAAGTCGTACACATGTAGGTAGTTTAAACATTATTCTTTACTTTTTTTATTTCTGAACTACCAGAATTGGTATTCTATGAAGTTCACTTTAAGTCAGGGTCGATCGATACGCAAAAGTGCGATCGTGCCCCTGAACCTTATCTTGTTTTTACTCTGCGATATAATTGTTATTCGCCTAAAACGAGTTAACAAAACTTTTATGATACGGGCTCATTCAATCAAGTCCAGCCTATTTTCTCACACTTGGCGGAATAGTAATAAAATAGGCGCTAAATAGGCGCCTTGACGTCGAGTTGCGGACACCAGCCCGTAGTACCAAGTAGTTATAAAACAATAACAATAATAATAATAGTTAGCCTTAATGGGAAGGCACAATGAGAGGGTTTGGGCTGTAGTTCCCACGTGTGATCGATTTGGATTGGGAACTTCTCATACGTAATTTTTTGCAGATGTGTGCTGGTTTCGTCACGATGTTTTCCTTTGCGGAAAAGCTCATAGTAAATTTCAAATTAATTTTTATTAGGGATAGTTATATCCTTTAAATGTATTTGTGCTGTTAAAAAACTTCCCGTTGCCTCTATAAAGACTATCAGGCATATTTTTAACTCCGATATTGTTGGAAAATATCAAGTACCTACTAAAGTTGCGAAAGTATCTAGAACAATACCTCTATTGAGGTACTTAATTATTATATTAAAAAGTTATAATTATATCACGGTATAATGTTTTGACTTTTAAAAATAGAGACTTTTATTATTTAGTTATGAAAATTGAAATTTTTTCAAGCAAGGAAGCAAGCAAGAACATCGTTATATGTCCGTGTGTTCTTTGTATGTATCCTGTATGGATGTTCACGGTGGTGGCCGTCTATAAAAGTCTAGAAGTAAAATTTTTGGTCTTTCGGGTCTAAGCTATATTGCCAATTGACATGTTATTGACTTCCACAAATGACTGACAAGTTGATGACAGACAAGTTTTAAAAATCGTTACGTTTATTGTTTCTGGGTAGTGAGTAAAACTGATTATTTTAGTAATTACATTGACTGTAATTATGTTTATTACGTAAAAGAGTACTTATAAATCTCCGATGAAACGATTGATTCCAGTCTTTAAAAAAAATATATATGTGGTCCTTTACCTTTCTCTCTTGGGGTAAACACAACTAATTACAATATAACATCTAGGTACTTCCCTTTCATCACTAACATTATAGGTATCACGAACAGAGTACTTAATCAGTTGCTGGACTTAAAATTCTGTTTATTAAAATTTATTTGAAAATAAATTGATTATTAAAATTAAATAAAAAGAAATGATTTACGTACGTTTCCAAAAGAAGTTACGCACGGAACCAAAATAAAGTGAGAGTGTAAAATAACGTTTGCTAATATTTAAACAATTTTCATTTAGATTTTGTGAATAGTACAGTCAAAGTCAAAGTCAAATAATCATTTATTCCATAGGTAAAATGTTTACACTTGAAAACGTGATTTTTAAGCTACTTTTTAAGCTACTGGTCGTTCACTACGCTGATCTCCCTGAGAAAAACGAACAAGAAAGTCTGGAAATTGCTCTTTTTTTTTAAATAAACTTAAATGCTATCATAATTGTGTGGAATCTAGACTCTTGTTGTCTTTCCATACTTCTTTATCTAAAACATACTCTTCAATTTTGTAACATGACTTTTCAGTTAAAATACTTTTAATGTAAGTTTTAAACTTAGGAAATGATAACCTAAATATATTTTCTGGAATCTTATTGTAAAAGCGGATCAGTTCCCCATAAAAGAATCGTTTACCTTAATTAAACGAAATCGTGGTACCATGAGTTTGAACTTAGTTCTAAGGTTAATATTATGGATATCTTCTTTCTTAATGAAATTATGTACATTTTTACGGGTATACAAAATATTTGAGTAAATGTACCGTGATGTCAGTACAGTCATGATACCAGTCTCCTTAAACTTTTCTCTGAGGGAAATCGGAGAACCTAAACAGTACACAGAACGAATTGTTAGTTTTTGCAACACAAATATGGTTTGTATATCTGCCGCTTTACCCCAATAGCGTTCTGGGACCCTTCCCAAGCATCAAATATATGTTTTAGTGGCGCTACCCCCGCATCGCTAGTTGATCTACCATTAGTAAACCCATATTGTTCACTATGAACATGAAAAATGTGATTCCTACCGAAATAAGACAGCAATTGACTCAACATAACCTATTCGAATATTTTACTTAAAGCTGATAGAATTGAAATAGGCCTATCGTTGCTAGGATCAACTTTCCTACAGCTTTTGAATAAAGGAATAACCTTGTTGTATTTCATCGAATCAGGAAAAATACCTTCGTCAACGCAAATATTGAATGTATTAGTTAAATGTGGGGAAATTAAGTATATTACTGAGTATATAACTTTAGTCGATATGCCCCAGAGATCTTCAGTTTTTTTTAACATGTATAGATTTCAAAGCTTTGAAGATGTCTTGTGGATTAACATGATAAAAATTAAATACACTGCCACAAACATTAACATTTTTCTTTAGGAGATCAATAGCAAGAGAAGGAATGGAATTTAATAATTCTGCAGTGTTTACGGCGATTTCCGAAAAGAACGATTCAAAAGCTTGGGCTACCTCATTTCTAGATTTTATAAATTTACCATCTAATTCTAGAACTATGTCTCTATCATGTTGTTTAACCCTGCCTGACTTTTTATTTATTATACTCCAAGTGGTTTTAGTTTTATTTTTCGATTGTCTAATTTTATCGTTGTGAAACTTAACCTTAGCAGCTACACATACTTTTTTAAATATTTTTGAATAATTTTTAATATATTCTATAAAACTGGAATTAGTATTATAAGTTTTCATAGCGTATAGCTTATACAAACGAGACCTACTCTTATGAATGCCTACCGTTGCACAGTCATTAAATTAAGTCTCCATATGGAAAGTTAGTGTTTAAATACATTAGTCAGTTTAAATACATTATCAAATTAATTATTAATATAACTAAATATCATGTTATATAAAATAGTTGCAACCTCCGGCCCATATACCGGAGCAGGGCATTTAAACTATTGTCAATATTATTTTGAAATATAATTATTCGTTCTGTGGTAATCGGTCTGCAGAGAAATTGGTCTACCTTCTTGCTCATTTGACAGTTAACTTAAGCAATTTATGATTGGTTTAAATACTGCGTCTGTGTTGCAAAAAATGTTATCAATACAAGTAGAAGCGGAGACAGAGATGCGAGTTGGTTCCAAAAAAAGATTAATCAAGTTAAAACTTTTATATAAATTAATGAGTCTTACAGAAGTAGAACAGTTTTCCAACAGGTTTAAATTGAAATCTCCGCATACTAATATAGTTTTTTTGGTTGGTAAAATATGTTTTAGACTATCTTCCATTGAAATTGGCAGAGATACATACAACTGATCCAATTCCACACATGAAATTTTATTGGCCCATTCAATAGAGAGATCTGTGATATCTTTACGCTCCTTAAATTTTAACTTACGCTTAATAATAATCATTGATCCGCCTCCACTTAAGTTCTTTTTTATGAACGAACTGACTATTACATCATTTTCTACTTTGTTAATTGCTTCGTAGTCTTTCAACCAGTGTTCTGTTACACAAAACACGTCAATGGAAATATGGTGTAAAAAAAGACTTATTCTAATGTTTTGCCAGAAAAGCCCTGAATGTTTTGATGTACCATATGGAAATGCTTAGACTTTTCTGTAGTCGAGTTTACTGGTTTAAATTGTGGTTATTAAGTATAATGTTGTTAGTTAGAGCAGGAACATTGTCGTGGGACTATCTTCTTCAACAGCGTCCTTAATATTAAAAGCTTTTTGCTAGTTTACTAGAAACTAGCAATATGTCCTAAATAGTCCTTAGGGGTAGATGTAAATTATTCTCAAAAAGTTTAAAATTCCTTACAAGCTTATTGCTGTCAAAACAAAAAATAACGTTACTATGACGGCATGTCAAACTGTAAAAATGTGAATTTAATGTGAGTAGTGCAGTGCTGATCATTGATATAATTGAAGTTTAATAAAGAAGAAACCTGATTCAATTAAAGTTTTTACGAAATTCGTATGAAAGCAAAATCAACCTAGAACCACTCGTCAAACTTGTTTATGAAGCCTGAAGTAAGACGTTAAACAATTGAATAAAAAAATAACTAACATTTTTTCAAATTAAGTCTGCAATAGAAAAGTGAAATAACCTGCCAGGTTTTTGAAAAATACAAACACTGCATTCTTTTTGGATTTTACTGGTGCAGGCGTGTGTATATACGCAAGTATTTGTAAAATAGTATTTCTTGTAAAGTTACTTCCTGAAGAGCAATTAATAAAATATGCAGGAAATGAACCAGCGTCTCTGGGAGTGCCTAACTTTACTATATCAATCGACTTTGGCACTTTCCAAAGTTCTTATTAAAAATAAAGTGTACCTACTATAATTGCTTTTTTGTATGTACAACAGCCCTTTGAAGTATATCACGAGAACATCTAGTGTATAATAAATTGAAAAGATAAAAAGAGTTAGTAGGTATCACTCGTATTACCTATATTACTAACATAGTCGCGACTTGCTCACGTTTTTATCACGTTACATACACAACACGCAACGAAAAAGGAAAGAAAATTCAGTAGTGTCTATGTAAAACCATTGTAGAGCTAAGGAGTAATGAATAAACGACTTTATTAGCCAATTGTTGCACTTGTAAATAAGGTCGTCATAAATGGCAGTAAGAAATAATATGCACTTTTTTTGCATAGATTTTCACCATATCGTGGCCTGTGATAAGACTGATTTAAAAGCTACTTATTTACCGAGAGACGAGTGCTCGTAATTGCTGCCTATATTTATCATCAGCGAGCTAATGTTATAAAGCCGGTCGAGTCTTCTATCCATCGCATTACTCGTTCAGTTATCAAACGCTATAGACCTTACGACTTAAAAGTAACTTTGACATTGACACAGTGCAGAGATGGCGCCAGTTAACGCGAACGATGTTTTAAATGGAAATAAGACTTATGTTGCTCCTCTTCCTGAAGCTACTACTGAAACCGGAGAAGGAATTAAAGGGTAAGTGTTAGTTCACGATATTATAAGGCTTATATTATCTTTCAAGAATTCATTCATATACGTCATGTTAGCATTTATTCAAATAATTAAATTTGTGTCAAATTAAGCAATACATATATCTTTCAAAACTCGTGATAGTGGTGGCGAATTAAATTACAAAATAAGCAATTAAAAACAAAAAATACAAGTGCAAAATTGAAGACGTAAATTGGTATAATCTTGAACACGATAATGACGTACACCCTTGAATTTATCTATGAATTATAATGTTCATGGCAATCAATGAATAAAAAGAGGAATATATTTAGATTCAAACTGGTGAATAATTTTATATTTATATATTACAAGAGTCTGGAAAACAGTCTTAAGAAATTAAGAAAATCGGACACTACCTAGAAGCTTGTGTTGTGCTTGATAAGTATAATTAGTTAGGAATGAATAAAAACCTGTCCAATGCATTCATTTTAACTTTACCCCATCTACGTTCTTATATTATAAGTTATATGGTTCAAAATGAGTTATATTAGGGATTTAGTTACGTTGTACTCTGTAATTGAACCTCATCAGTCAGGCATTCAGCAGGTCGAGACTTTGCCGGTTTGACAATGACACGCCCCCAACGCAGTTCCACCTTCAATTGCGTAATATACTTTATCAATTTTACCTTGCATAATAACGGTAGGTATAAATAACAGAACAATTCTATTTTTGGATACAATTTATGAACAGAATAATTATTTCATTTTCAGAATCACAATTTATAATTTTGTTGTTTATGTGCAATATTTGTTTTTTATTAAAACGTATTTTTTTTCCGTAATAATGCAATGAAACTGCAACAAGGCATACACCATGCATGCAAGCTAATTATTTTTTAAACGAAATTATATATACAGAGTGTTTTTTTTTTATAGCACAGTATGGAGAAATCCGAAACCATAGAAGATTCAAGGAAACTGTTTTAGGAATCATTTAGTCTTTTTTGTGAATACAATTCTTGCATAATCAATTATTTGGTCAAGCGTGACGTCCATAAAAATGAATAAAATTGATCAACTATTTTTATTATTACAGATAAACTCAGTTTCTTATAAAAATTATTTTATGTATTGGGAGAAAAGACTACGCCAAAAAATAAGACTAAATGGTTCCTAATGTAACACAATTTCCTTGTATCATTTGTATTTATATCTTCTATGGTTTGGGATTTCCCCATACTTTTTTTTTAAACTCTATATTTGTGGTAACGTCATCAACTTCCTGGTCGTATCCCTGTCTGCTAATAACATGCTATTAAAAATTCGGCCAAATTAAAATTCTATCAAGTAAGTTACTGGTAAGTTAGAGAACATACCATCATAGAATACATATATAATACTTTAATACATGTAGTATAGTGTTATAAACATTCGACTAAAGATAATTATGTAATTAAATGAGTATCGGACAATCAAATTATGCCACAGAATCTGCCAACGCAGAAATCTTGATTACGTTATTTTTATATTTTGTGTCGTGCCAATATTATAAAATTTATGAGATAAATACGTTTAAGCTAGTGACTTATTCCTATCTTGTTAATTGATTAACAGTTTAAAAATAACTTGAAAACCATAGATTTTAGCAACTGAATTTTTTTTCTCTAGTTTCACAATTTTCGTTGGTTCGTTCCGTGGCTTAGTTGGTATAGCGTCTGGCACGGTATGCAAGAAGACGTCGGTTCGAATCCGACCGGATCGAAGGAATTTTTTCTGAGTCTCTTCTAGATGTTTGTATTAATAATTATAACAAACTAGTGGAATAATTTCACAAAAAATAATTGAATATCAATTCAATTAAAATTTAATTCACAATTTTCGTTAACTTTTCACGATATTTTTTTGTTTGACCATGTATAGTATAGTATCTATTGCGTTGAGTCTCCAAGGATGACCATCGGAATGACTGGCCACAAAGACAGACTGACTAGATTGAAAGAAATTAGAACGACTTTCTTTTGGACAAAAGACGACGAGGGCAATTCTAACTAAACCTTCAGCCAACGAAGACGACTTCTCCAGAACATATTGTACAGACAGACTGTATAATACAATAAAATGTTACAATAGCTAGAGACCGCGCGATTTATTCACATAAATAACTGCCCCTATAGATTACAAGGTCTAAAATTTTAAAAAATATTCAATATTTATAATAATTAACAACATACAGTCAAGAAACAGCACGGCAAGTTTGACACTTTGATCTGCTTATCACAAACGATATATACAAATATGTAGAGTTGCATCGTAACGTGTTCCTGATCTTATACATATTACCGAATACTATGCAACTTATTACATATGATAAATAATTTAAACATTATTAATAGTACTATATCAAGTTTTCGATTAAGGTTTTCAGGTACACCATTTTGGTAGGTACCAAGTCAGAATAAAGTTAATTTTATATTTATAAACCGTTTATATTTAATTTACTCATGCTATAGAATTATGACTAAACGTAATTTGAACATACACGTGCACAGATGGGTCTGCATTAAATTTGCAAGTATAACATCAATTTAATAAGGTCTCTATTAAAATAGCGGTAACAAGTAAATCAAAATGGCAGGACGAAGTAATGTTTTTCCGTTAGAACCTTATTTAATACGGTGTGTATAATACTTTTTTTACGTAAGCCCAGATTACATTACTTAACTATTAACTCATGTATAACACACTAAAGTACGTCATCCGTTTATATGTCATGAAACTGTACTATTTTCTTTGAATATACTAAGTATATTTTGCTATTTATATATAGTAATTAAAATAGGCAAATACGATGAGATGATTGAACAAATTTATGTGATATTATTGTTGTTACTTCTTTCAGCTATTCATATGAGTTGCTACAGGAAATAGCAAATTTTCTGCTGTCGCGCACGTCAGTTCGACCCCGTATTGGAATCATCTGCGGCTCTGGGATGGGTGCGTATTGGAATGATGGTATATATTATTGTCTATTTTTTATAGAATTTTTCTCCTTAATTAATTAAAGTATAGACTTTCAATTAGTATAATCTCAGAAACCATATCACTAAGGCGCTCTTTTTAGTTCTGAACCAAAATTCCATTGTCTATGGTACTGTTACTGTACTGAAAAATTTCATTAGAGTCCTGTATACAAAACTATAATGAGTTTTTTAAAAAAGAACGTCGTATTTTTGCTTATTATAAGAGCATCTTTAAACATATCCTGTGTTCCTGAATAGAATAACGCCACTACATTTGTGAAATTATTAAAATTCAAATTATTTTATTAAATAATATCTCAAAATGTTGCATAATAGATACAAAGGCGTAATTTGACAAAAAAGACCTATTTATCTAAAATCAATATAAAGATTGGTTGTGTTTCATTATTTCACTTTACTTAGAAAAAGTATTGTATGTAGGTACTGTACTAAAATATCAACAGTGACTTTGAAATGTAGTAGGTAGTCATCATGACAAGTACTACAATTTAGTAAACTTAAGTATATAATTTAAATATTTGACTCAACATAATATAAACAGTCCAGGACCCTCGGTTCTACATTAGTTATAGAATTACATTGATTTGATCTTTCACGGCATTAACAAATTATTTTATTTTAAAATCCGAAACGCTGAGGTTTATGTTTTTACACACGATTAAGTCCCGATTTTAAAATCAAATAAAGTTATAGAATTTGAAGTAAAAATCCACATCGGTAACCTAAATGCAATTTTCGAAGTATTCGTTTGTAGAAATCGTAGCTAATTGTGTTAAATTATAAACAGGATCTCTAGCAGATAGCATAGTAGACGCACAATGTTTCCCTTATACGGAAATCCCCAACTTTCCCGTGAGTACAGTTGAAGGACATCAGGGAAAGCTTGTTTTCGGTCACATCGCTGGAGTGCCCGTCGTAGCCATGCAGGGAAGATTTCATTACTACGAGGGCTACCCACTTTGGAAGGTGTGTGTAATCATGATTTTTACTTGACATTATATTATCGTTGCCGCGAAAGTGGCTCGTGTCGTAGTATTTATAAACTTATACATAGTACCTACTAATACCTAGATAGTACATTAATTAAAGATGTTCTTTTACGGAATAGATACGAATTTGGTATTTTTGTTGGCTTAAATGAATTAGTGCAATCTTCTTACGCTATAAATGCTTGGCATAATGGTGAAAAGATTTTTCAAGTGGCGTTGAGCGAGGTGCGCCAGATTTACAGGAAAAAAATGATACATGGTGCGGAGAAGCTCCTTTCGGGCACCCTAAGTTTAGTCCAATACCAAGAAAATACCTGGATAGGATAATAGGATAATAATAAATAGTACATTATTGCAGAGGCCGGGATGTAAGGGATTGCTGGACGAGTATGAGTTACAAGGACGAGCGCCAGCGAGAACTTGTATTAATACCAGTCAATCAATCCCCGTTCCCGCTGAGACATGTCTAGAATTTTTCTCAAACAATGTGAGGAAATAATAAAAAACTTAAGAGAGGAAGTTGTATAAAATAATAATTAATATTAAAAATAATATTTAACGTATTAGGGCAATTTCTAAAAGAAAATGTTATTGTTTTTCCAGACACTTTAGTGGTAATCTGCTGAAGTTCTGATGATGTATTTGAACGTGTATCTATTACTGTATTTTCGTTATCGCTCTTCTCATTAGCACTCATTTTCGCGACCGAAGTTCAAAAAAGACAAAAGAATACCAAAATATTTTAATTTAAATGTTACCGCAATTTTCTTTTTTTTAAGTTAGCGGTAAAGGTAGGAGTTTTTAATTATGAACACTGGCAGTTGATAATGGATTTTCATACTTACTTTCCAGACCTCGGAAAGAAGTCGCATGGTCCATAAATGACACACGAACACGTCAAATATTAATTAATATTTTATTACTTTTTCTATTGTACCTACATCGTCCTTTCTTTAGTCTTTTATTATTTCCTCACATCGTTTGAGAAAAATACTATATAGGCCTCGGCGGGAACGGGGATTGCTTGATTCGTACTAATACAAGGCCTCGCTGGCGCTCGTCCTTGTAACTCTTACTACTCTAGCAATCCTTTACTTCCCGGCCTCTGCAGTAATGTACGATTACATTTAACAATAATGTAAAGAACAAAATATCCAATTATAATAAGGCTAAGGAGAAATTGTAGGTATATTGCAATTTATGTAAGCCTGTGATCATCGAGTATAATATAACCAGAAATAGAGACGAAATAAGGGCCATATATTCCTGGTAACACATTAGCGATACAGCTCTTATAAATATCAACTCCCGTTTGCACTGAAATATAGACAGGCAACTACTGACCTGTGCGTACGTCTCCGTATATTCCAATAAATATTCAGTATTTATTGTAATAAAGATAATATCTCTAACAATGCCGTGCTGTTCTATTCAGTGGTGTGAGAAAGACATCAAAACATCTAATTACAAAACAAACGGAATCACATTTCATCGGTAATTAAATATTAAATATGTAATTTTGCAATTTTTGTCCATTATAGCAAAGCTCAAGTTAACTGGTCGATTTGAAGTGAAACAGTTGACGACACCCGTCAATTGTTTCGAACTCGGGCTAGCCAATCGGAGCGCAGTTATCACAGTAATGATGTGGCAGAATAGTTTTCAAACAAGTTAAATGACATTTTGTCTCTATTTCTGATTGTATACTCGATGCCTGTGATTCATGAATCACCTTCATGTTGCGAATTTAGGTTTTGAATGTTTATTTACGTCTTTGTTACTAATCTAAAAAATTACCAGTTGATAGAGCTTAAATACCTGTATTATGATTAGGAGGCAAGTTAGCTTAAATACTAATAAATATGTAGATAGTTAATTAATTATTTTGGTATGTGTTTTTTGCGAAGCTAAAGATAATCAGATAAAATTTAAGTGGGTAATTTTAAGGTTAGTAATCTATACCTAATTTCGTTGGCAATTTTTATTGTTTAACTATTCAAGTATATTATCGTGTAATATTAAATAATATTTCAGGATTACTGCACACTTATATTAAGTAATACTTCATGATAATGTTCTAGAATATTTAAATGATATTAATTACCACCGATATTTGCTAAAGAAAGGTAAATTGCGTGGTCGAGTGACTTGCACACCGCTTTTCACGGTGTCGCCAACTCTAAGGTTCGATCCCAGATCGATGTAGAAAAACGAACTTTTCTATATTGTCTCGAGTCTGGGTGTATGTGGTACCGTTGTTGCTTCCGATTTCTATAACACAAGTGCTTTAGTCAGGGATCGGAGCAACGTATGAGATGTTGTCTAAATATTGATTAATTTATTATTTATTTAACTTGAAAATTACCCAAGTCGATTGTATTCATTGTTCAGTATGGATTACTTGACTTGTCGCGGAAGGGAATGGATGCGAAATTTTGTAACGAAATAGCATAATGAACTGTATGTCAATTTCGTAACGTACAAACTACATACGATACGATAGATGCGGAATTTTAGAGACTGCGTTAGAATTCTCAGGAAGAACAACAATAGAGGTCCTTGTGAAAGAATTTATGCAGGTAAGTACTGCAACCTTAGCAATTTCTGCCGCCAAGCAGTAACGTGAATATTACTGCGCTCCGGTTTGTAAGGGTGCTAGTGAAATTTTCCTTGACCTTCAAGCATTATACAGGGTTATTTGTAAAATACTAATAACCGCGCAGAACTGTATTACTAACATCATAAATAACAACTTTTTTGTTCCATAACTTTTAATAAGTCACCAGATTTTACTTTCATACAAAAATAAAAATATTTAAATAGAACGCTCTAAAATAATTTGTGCAAAACTCGAGAATCGTCAGGAATCTCCGACGCGTCTGAGGACGCTTACACGTTTGAACTTTACTCCTTACTACCAAATATAGATTTTAAAAATATCAGATAGAAGATACGAAAACACTAAGAAGTTTATTTATTGTCTTATCATGATTTATCAAGTCACGAAACAAAAGTGATTATTTATGATGTTGGTAATCTAATTCTGCAAGGTTGTTAGTATTTAAAAAATTAGCCTGTATAAGCGACTAGTATTACCTAATTAACCGACTTCAAAAACAGGAGAAGGTTCTCAATTCGACTGTATGTATTTTTTGTATGTAGGTTACTCGGTAACGCCGATGATCCTTTTTGTTGGAATGAGGATACGTCATTAGTGGTCCCATTTAAATTTGAAGAAAATATTCCACGTCTAGGTGTGGCAAACTAGAGAATGAATCCGGTTTCGCGCAATTTCCGGTAACCGATTTCATTGAAACTTACCAAAAGGATGTAATTCCACGAACGTTTGAGGTCGGTCTTTTTAGGTACCTACTAAAAAGACCGAGTACCACTCTGTACTGAGATTATTGTACATATTATTTATTACGGAGGGAACGAAACTTACTAATAAACAATACCAGGGGTCTTGAGAATATTTCTCGACCTATTTGGTTTGTTTGTTCTTGATAATGAATTGACATTCGAATGCTCGAATCGCTGAGAAAAAACAAAAGTTATTTCAGGAAGGTTTTTGTGTGTATATTCATCGCGCAAATTATATTCTTAAAATAACTTAAGTTTTATAACTGTTTATCGTATGTTTCAGTATTACGTCTGCACCACTGCCAATGCTGGGTTGACTAGGTCAAATATGTAATCAAAGTAGTAAATAAACATTCTGTATAAAAATCTGGAAATTGTGATTCGGCTGATGTAAACGGGCTCGACCCCCAGCGATGTAGGTTATCTTTTGTTATGAACCCACAAAGACGACAGAGTAAACCATAGATAATACACTTATATTTGGAGTGAACTACCTACGACTGATAATAATATAACGCTCAATGAAACTTTCCTTTATCAAGTAAACATAATTTACCCATAATGAGGTGTGAGAAATTTAGAACGACTTTTAGAACGGATTTAAAACTCTGAGAGATTAGAGAGAGTAAAAAAGTTAAACCTACAATCGGACATTATTAATAAAAATTTGGAAAAATACCTCCGAATTTTTTTAAATACGGGATAAACAAGTCCATAACAGTTGCAGTGCTGATCAGAGCTTTAAATTGCAAAGATCTGAGGGGTACTGCCATGGCGTCCATCACCCTGAGGCATAAGTTGCAAAGTCCCAGGAGCCTGTAAGTTCACCGTGCACCCTTTCAAACTGGAACGCTGTAATGCTTATAAATGTATTAATGAAATAGGTAAAGTGGCGTCTTTCCCGAATGGACTCTTTCACAAGAACCTCTACTGCAACTATTCATAGATCAACTCTTATTATTATTACGTGTAAAATTATTATAATTATTATTATCTTATTGCTCTTAATAAAGTATCACTATCACATCATACATTTTTTTAACGCTTGTGGTTTATTAGTAACTCCATGTTTTCTAAATGTTTGCAAAGCATGTTTAGTAGTTTTATCCTCCGCCATTAAACCATGTGAGATTATATTTTTATTCATTAGGTTGACTAGTTGGATTATTTTTATGCTCATAGTTCTTGGCAAGACTTCTCTGTTATGATGTTTTAGGCTGAACGTTGTATTTTTCACCGACTTCAAAAAAGGAAGAGGTTCTCAATTCGTCTAGTTTATTTTGTGCATATGTTACGCGTTTACTTCGACATTTGAGAACCGATTTCGACGATTTTTACTTTGTTGGAAAAGAGGTACTTACCCCCGTAGTAGTAAGTACCATTTAAATTTGAAGAAAATATTCCACGTGTAAGGGTGGCGAATTAGGGGATGAATCCGGTTTATTTTATTTCACCGACTTTCAATGAAACTTGGCACATTTTTGTTATATGAAATGTAAGTGCGCATTTGACCTCCATCTCACCTGATGGAAAAATATAACAATGCACTAAATATTTCCTATTCACTATCGCCTTGAATGCCCAAGTTATAACGTTTAAAAAACAAGTCTGCAGGCAAGGAATTCCACTCTATAGACGTACGCCATATAAATGTGGAAGAGCAACGCTTCGTGCGAATCTTTGGAACATCCACAACATAGGGGTGGAACCCAAGCCTACGCCTAGTCCCCGGGTGATGGAAAGGATAGATCTAATTTTAATGAATAGAAAACACAGTGAAATAGGGATAAGCAATGCTTCTGAGGTCGATTTTTGTTTTATAAAAAAGTTATGCTAGCGTTGGCTACACTTAGAATATTACCAATTATTGACTGGGTAATATTTGAAAGAAAGAAAGATATTTTATGTGTACTTGCTCTTTGAATTTACTACTAAACTTTGAATCTCTCCACAGTGCTGTCTACCCGTTCGAGTGATGAAGCTCATTGGAATCAAGACCTTAATAGCAACAAACGCAGCTGGTGGTTTGAATCCAGATTTCAGAATCGGAGATTTCATGATTGTTAAGGACCACATCAATATGATGGGTTTCGCTGGCAACAATCCTCTACACGGACCAAATGATGACAGATTCGGACCACGATTCCCGCCAATGAGCAAAGCCTATAATTATGAATTTAGAAAAATTGCCAAAGAGGTAAGGAATCTGGAAACCGTACTTTCATAACAAAATAGATAGATAGATATATGTATAGATATACACTTTATTACTCAAACGGAAGAATAAAAACAGTACATAAACAGCTTAAAACTAATATGGGCATAGACGATCTTTGAGGCAGAGGAAAGCTAAAAAGAATGGGATACTACTAGTGTGCCAACGATAAAATTTTAAATGCATTAATAAAAAATTACATTATATTATTACCAAATAATAAATTATCATATTATTATAGTAGGTATACCTACATAACGCACTGTATTACAATAGTGTTGTAATTAAAAATATGTGACATTCGAGATTATAGTATTACTGAACGTAAAATTGTCTACACGTGAATAAAACCGTCATTAGGATATTGTAAGAAACAATGAAATAGTACTTTGGGTAAGTATTAAGGGCGGTAATTAAGAAATTACTAACGAAAGATTGTTAGAAGCTCGAAGCCGAAGGCTGAGGGCTTTAATGACTCGATGTTTGTATAATTTTTACCGCCCGTGGTATATACAATGTTTTTCGTCACATCAAAATCCAAAATATCAAGATTGACGTGCTCTGGGCAATGATATTATACTTGTTTATGCTCACTGGCTCTGGGTATATAAGCAGAAGAAAAGGCAATATGGAGGATGATAAGAACCTTTACGCGAGTACACAATAACGCCTAAACAGATGTATGTATCAACGAATTATTTTGTTTTATTTTTAATTGAAAAATGTTTTCAAAAATCTAAACAAATCTGAAAATTGCACAAATACGTCGTTTTCTTCTAGTGAAAAGAAAATTGTTTAATATAAAATGTATGTACATTGGTTAATTAATAATTAATACAAACTGATAATGCGAAAGTAACTCTATCTGACACCTAAACTGCTGAACCTAATACATTTGGTATAGAGATAGATGGAACCTAGGAGAAGGACGTAGGCTACTTTTTATCACAAAAATAAATCTTAAAGGAGGTAAAATAGGGGACGAAAGTTCCGTTCCAAACCAATCATGTCTTAAGTACCCAAGTAGTACAGTAAGGCTACTCGAAGTAATTATCCTACGCCGACGAAGTCGCGGGCACCAGTTTGTCGGTTTTAAAAATAAAAATATCACGTTTCCGTAACCTGTTCAAAATCTATCAGTTTTGAGTACCTTAAGAAACTGATCAATTATTGAAAAAAATACATTAATTAATCAGCGATATATTAACTTCTTCACATTCAATATCGATACATTTAATAATTGGATTGTTTCATAAAAACAACTAAGTTTCATAGCATCTCGGGGGTTATCGAGGTTCGGAATTGCTGCCATACTGCACGTCATATTAATCGACATATTACAGACGACTCGTTATCTCTATGCCTCTGGATTTATTCAAACTAACAAAATTTATTTTGTGTTGACGAAACAATATTTTTGATAATTTCTGTAAATCGGGCTCGCTCATCTGAGTTTCTCGAAATTTTTTGGGCCAAATTTAATTAGAAATTTACCGTGAGCGTTTTGGTGAAGGAAAATATCGTGATGAAACCTGCACGTCGAAGAAGGTTCACAAACCTCGGAAAACGAGTGATGTCCCCAACCAGCAGTGTGCCAGCGTGGCAGACCACGGGGCAGACTATGGCCTAAAGCCTCGCCTGAGAGGAGGCCGAACGGATACCATGCTGGTCTGCCACGCAAAGGTCCTGGGTTCTTTCCCGGGAGATTTCTTTTTTATAATACTAAGTGATGGGATGAACAAGTCGTGCACCTGGTGGTAAGCGACACGCCTGTCAACAATGGTTGCAGTGCCACTCATAGCTTTAGGTAAATAGCAAAGATTTGAGGGACACTAGCACTATGCCCGTCACCCTGAAGGTGACAAGTCCCGTGTGCCTGTAATTTCACCAACGATTATAAAGATATTTGTAATTATCTATATTAACACAATTATTCATATAAATTTAGCTTGAAGTTTAGTTTATAAACTATATTGAACACTTCATTTTGATCTTAGCCAAACGTCCGACAAGAGAAATTATATTACTATAATAATTTATTAGCGACGTCTCTTGTCAGCCGCTTGTAGCTGTAAAGGTACCTGGGATGAATGAAGAAAAACTTTCATAGACTTCTCACAAATGGCGCTAGGGTAAAAAGTCGTTAAAACAACCGAAAACAAAGATCTGCAACAAGCACATAGAAAAATGCGTTGGGTCTGCTGGTTCGTTTAGCTTAGTTGGGAGAACGTACGCCTGGTATGCTGAAGATGCTGGTTTGAATCCCGCCGAATCGAATTATTTTTTCTTTGTATTCGATCTTTGTATTAATAAAAGTAAAGAATAAATCAATAAAAAATGTAAATTAATTTTGTCACAAGTATTAGGTACGTAAGTAGGTAAATACACCGAAAATTTTTTTGTGCTTAATAAATCTGTGAATGACTAGGTAATCTGTGAATGATATCGGCAATGTTTCTGTTTTCTGTTCAATTCGAAAATATATATATATATTATATATATATATATAGTTACGATTTTTAATATATTCTACAACTCATATTTACTTCAAAATCAAGCTACTAATATAATACTACGCCATTAACTCAAACGTGTTACGTGTAGTAAAAGTAATACTAATCACCACTCACGTTCTGATATTTTTAGGTTGCCGTAGAGTTGAATTTAGAAAATATCGTACGAGAAGGAGTGTATGCTTGTCTTGGTGGCCCTAACTTCGAAACGGTGGCAGAACTGAAAATGCTCAAAATGCTCGGTGTCGACGCCGTCGGCATGTCTACAGTACATGAGGTTTGTATAAACAGAGTTTTTATGTAGGAATTTTATTCAAAGAGCTGATCGTCTTTTATTTTTTGGGTTAATTTTATGTAACGTGTATGTTGTAACCATTAAATCTATGGTTGTAACCGTCATATTGACCTACCAATAAAGGTCAATGATAACCATATGCCACCGCGAAGTGCAAAGAAAAAAACCATATTAATAACGGTCTACAATGATTAGTGAAACTTTGTTAAGTCATAGCCAAACCGATTTCAGTTTAAAGTAGCTAATTAGGTGTCGATTGCTTAATTACCTTATTAATTAATTTTATAGCTTATAGGTTAACAAATTATCATAAAAGTGTTACATTGTCACAATAACCCTCGCCAATCAATATTTGCTGTTATTGCGTACTTAACTGTATATTTAAGTAAATAAATAGTAAGATAAACAAAGGTTTATCACAAAATTTTCAAAAAGTAAGCTTTTTACACAAACAAGTCATTAGAACAACTACATTTCCTTATTTTAAATAAGACACTGAATTTCGGAATGTTTTGTGATTATTATAAACATGCAAAATTGCGTCATGGGGTATCTATTAGCCGGTACGAAACAATACCTAAGAAAGACTTCTTCTTTTTCTTGAGTGTTATAAAGAGTGTTTTGCAGTCATTGAAGGCAGCCACGGATTAAATCTACCCAAGATTTTGGTACGCCGTCGTGTTGGCTTTCTAGAAAATTGTCACCGGAAGAGTGCAATACAGATAACGGTGCGCCCAGGTCGTTAAAATGGTGCTTGTTTCACTTGTTGTAGAAGTTAGTAGCAACAAAGCGAAGCCGAGGGTCTTCTAACTTGTCAGCCTAAAATGAGAATTTAATGTTTTGATTCCAGGTGATCATAGCACGGCACTGTGATCTAACAGCGTTCGCCTTGTCTCTAATCACAAACGAGTGCGTGACGAGCTACGACGACGACAGTGAGGCGAACCACGAAGAAGTTCTTGACGTTGGTCGCATGCGACAGGATGTACTCAGCAAGTTTATCGCTCGGGTTATCGAAAGATTCGATAAAGTACAAAATAAGAATTAAACTATTGTTGCACGTCAACGTTGTCCTGTTTTCAAAGGTTGAAGTAGTAATGATGCTTACTTACTTACCTCAGACAAAAATATTGAGAAATAATTTGTACCCCGATAATTTGTCCACAAATAAGTATCAAAAAAAAAAAGTTATTCGAAAATGTCGTAAGTATGTATTTGTTGAATTGTACGTACAGTTGCATTCGAGGCTAGTAGGTACACTGAGCCCACTTTTCATTGTCATAATTACCTTCCACTTACAATATTGTATTCTATATATGTATATATATATATATATATATATATATATATATATACATAT